CCTCTTCAGGGTGATCACGACATTTATCTCAGTGGCCATCCCCTCAGTACCTAGTGCCGGCGTGGTATCTGTAGTCATTAACCTCACAGCTATTGGTCTTCCTGTACAGCTTGTCGGACTGCTCTTCGCCACTGAGTGGCTTTTGTAAGGAACACAATTGCATTATTGTAAATTATGGTTCTAAATGTTTTGATTAATCATCATCATCATCATCATCATCATCATCATCATCATCATCATCATCATCATCACCATCATCATCATCATCCTCGTCATCACCATCATCATGTCGCTGGGACCAGGTTGAGCTAGGCTAGCGAGACTGTGGGAGGACCATCATTGGAGCCTGAGATGGCATAATAAGAATTTTGTAAATGAAGAGCTCAGCTTACGTTGCCGAAGATGCAGCCATGAAGAGGAGGATGTCAAACATACATTTGAATAGCCAGGAACAATGGCAATTCCAATGGAGTTATTTGGACGAGTAGAGGTGCCTCTATCTAAGAATAATGACAATGGAGCCGAAAAAGAGCCTCGCTCTCGCTCGAAGATTTCTTCGTAGGGTCCACTAGGCCCCTTAAGGAAACCACACAAAAAATCATCATCATCAACATCATCATCATCATCATCATCATCATCATCATCATCATCATAATCATCATCATCATCATCATCATCATCATCATCATCATCATCATCATCATCATCACCATCAATAACTCTCTCACCCTGCATCAGGGAATAAGCCACGAACAAACACTGTCCACCTTTCCTTATCTTGGTTTAATTACGCCATATCAACGATATTTAGATCATTAAAGAGGCACGCTGTTTCGATCCTGCTTCTTGTAGTGGGATGCAGCTTCCCATCAGAGAGACGAAAATATGTTAGCAGAATCGAACTCACGTCTCTAGCATGCAAGCTGAAAAGGCATCAACCACTTACACTAGCAGAGGTGCGAATCAAATTCTAAAAAATTTCCAACAATGGGATATGGGATTACGCAACTTTTCAAAGCCCTCACGAAATTGGGAGCAAAATTTGGATTGTCGCACAACTTTGTAGACCGAGTGTGCCCCCGGCCGTTTTCGCAGGCTGTTTAGTTTAGTTTTAGTAATAGAAGGTCATATTCGTTGTTGTTTTGAGTGTCTGTGTGTGTTTATTTATTGTTGTTGGGTGTGGGGTGGGGGTGAGGTTAATTTTGGTTTTTTATTAACTTTTTTTATTGGGGGGGATGACCCTTCTTTAGTATTAGAAACCAGTCCTCCTCCCCTTTTTTCCTAAAGCCCAAAGTACCACCACCACCTCATAGGTTCTATTTATATTAGTTGAGAATCTTAAACATGACGTTTTAGCTTCCATTTTAACGTCATTTCAACCCAAATTAGGAAAACACTGTTTTCCAAATAGGCTTATATATTAAGACCCCCCCCGGCGCTTATCCATTAAACAATTCATTTAGAAAACGACATTACTTACTTTTTTTCAAACGATCACACACTTGATCGTGCTTAATTAACTTAACCAGCTACTCAAAATGAATTTTCACATCCTCAGAGACCGGTTCCGATCAGCCTCAAACATGTTAAGCCACGCCCATTGTGCCATGGTCACCTACAAATTCTGCAAGGCTCATCTCCCTCCGGAAAAATCGACCACTGACAACACTACCCTGGAGGTCAACGAGCCAATGTTGAGCACACCTGGGAGTGAAGAGCGGATAGCCATTGGTCACATAAATGATCACATCGGATTTGGTCGGGTAGCGTAATGGCATTGAAAAGTGCACATCATATCAATAAACTGATCTCTGCATTGTTACATTGCATCAAATTTGATCCCGAATTCCATTAAGACATAATATTACACATTCCGAACGTAAACCAAAGATCTGATAGGGGCAGGAGCCTGTCTTCTTAATTATCTAAATCGTGTCGAAGGGGGCGTAAAAAAACACCCTACATTAACACCAAAAAAATCTGCCCCCTCCACGTCATGGAGCATGTAGATTTACTCGCTTTGTTATTGGCTGTTTTCAACAAACTGGACCTTATTGGAACCTAGATGATTTAACACGTTTAAATTTTTGAAAAATAATTCTGCCACGGTGGTAGCTTTTGCCCCTCCCTGAAGGAAAATCAGACCGCCTGCAACGATTTCAAACCATATCATATCTGGACCTGACAAAACGTTCTGCAATGTGCACTTGGTATAATATCAGACACCACAGTCTCCTAGAAGCAACTACCAATATAGTTTTATGTTCTTCAAGTAAATTCTCTTCATTTAACATGTGTTCTTATATAAATTCCATGTAACCATGCCGCATGTTCTTTTTAATAGATTCCATTGTTTAACTGTTGTTCTTTATATTAATTCCATGTATCTGACGCATGTTCTTTATGAGAATTTCATCTGTCTAACATGTGTTCTTTACATAAATTTCATGTGGCTAACAAGTGCTTTCTATATAAACTCCATGTATTCACTATGTTCCTTATCTAAATTTCTTTTATTAAACACGTGTTCCTTATATTATGAATTCCTGTATCTAAAAAGACATTTATTAGTCTAGTTTATAAATATGTGTTCTCTACATAGGTTACATGTATCTAACACATGTTCTTTAAATAAATTGGACGTAACTGACATGTGTAGTTTAAATAAATTCCATGTACATGTGTATTTAACACCTGTTCTATAAACTCCATGCAGTTAATATATGTTCTCTATTTTAATTCAGAATGAGATTGATATGGGCTCTTTGTGCGTTAGAGCGATGAAGTGTTGAAGGGCTGTTTAAAAAAACAACAAAGAAAACTTTTTTACTTTTTAACGACAGACGAAACTATACTCTTTGACCCCCAAACAATCAAGTGAATAAGCAAAGCTTTTACTCCATACAAACAAGGTCTTTCGATTGTACTGGAGATAACTTTGGGGTAGAGATTTGTATGTTTTATAGCGCAGATTTTTGGAACCAGTTATAAAAATAATGGCAACCATCATCATCATCACCATCATCATCATCACCATCATCATCATCACCATCATCATCACCATCATCGTCTTCGCCGTAATCAGCATCATCACCAACATTTGTTTGAATGTCCAGGAACAATGGCAATTCTAATGGAGTTATTCGGACGAGTGGGGGTGCCTATGAGTATAATGAAATGTAGTCGAAAAAGAGCCTCGCTCTTGCTCAAAGATTTCTTAGTGGAGTCCACCAGGCCCATTAAGGAAATTTTTAAAAAAGCATCATCATCATTATCTGAACTAGTAAAATCGTCTTCAACATCGTCGTTGTCGTCCTAGGCGTACGTATTCATCATGAGTATACAGTACCAAACCACTGAAATAGCGATATTATCACAAGCAAAAGCTATAGCAGCAAATAGCAAAGTATACAAGCCGTGCTATTCACAAGTCCTACCATGTATGTGTGCTCCACTTGCCGCCTGTATGAGCTGATACTTTAAGGAGGGGGGGGGGCTGGTTTATAAACTTATCTCGGTAACTATATGGCCTTTTTAGTCAAAGCCTTCTAGCAATCAGGTATAACAGGAAAACGTATGTTAAATGCATCTTTAATTCTTTTGTTTAAGTCTATGGTTGCCATGGTAACGGCCGCCATATTGAAACTAAACAGCTTTCATAAAAGTAAAAAGGATTTTTTATAAATTTACCAACAAATTTAATTTGGTATGGTGATAGATATACTCAATACAAAATTTCATAAACTTGGGACTTGGATATCTTGAATAGGAAAAAAGTTAGAGATGGATAACTGACCTACCCACTCATGCCTGTGAATTCGATTACATATTCATCCAAGTAACCCACTCATGAATGCATCGATTTTATTTTCCACCTGTAAAAAGTTCAGTTATGGTATGGATAATAAACCCTGAAAATTTCATTGGAATCAAAAAAGAAAAGAAAATGCGAAAAAACATCAAAAATGTTATTTAGGTATTGAGAAAAACGACATTCTGTTACAGAATAGGCAAAATGAAAGTTCAAGGACAGAAAATCTGACAAATGATGATTGTAACACAAAGAATAAGCCCTTTTTAGATTTACAAGTGGTTGGAGTATTATTATACGTAAAAAGTTCGGAGCCAATAAATTGACCAAAAATCGTCAATTTAAAACCAGACACCCCTCCCCCCTCCTTAAAAAAGTTCACCAAAGCCTCTCTCACCGTGTCTCCTGCACC